TTTGTGTCCACCATCACAGAGACACTGCCAGAGAGACACCCTGTTGCCCACATGTTCTTCCTTCATCCCATGCCTACCCAGCGGGCCCGGCAGCCAGCGAGCTTTTCGCAGTCTCCATCGTGGGCCGTCAGAGGGTTCAAAGCACATCGCTGCCTTTGTAGGACTGGCTGTTTTCTCTCAGCAGCAGATTCAGGGCTCCTTGGGGATTCTTGTGGCTTGACCACATGTCTTGTTTTATTGCTGGTTAATACTCCGTGATGTGGATGGGCCAGCCACTTACTGAAGGACAGAGGGCCTGCTGGCTTTCCATTTCTGACCAACGGCCCGAAGCGGCTGCCAACAGTTGTGTGTAGGTTTTCATGCGGGCATTTGCCCCCATCTTGCCCAGCTGGCTGCCTGGGATCGGGCGGGACTGCTGGGTCTTTTGTATCGTAAGTCCGAGAAAAAGGAGCGGGCCTTTCCTATACCTCCACACTGCTGACCCTTCCAAACCCCAATCCAAACTCAAACCCAAGCCAAATTCTGAGCAACCCTACGGACAGAATAGCACTGACCGCGTGGGTTTCTGATACCGTGACTCTTAGGGGAGCAGAAAGTCTCCTCTTTCTCTCAAGGAGTGGCTGGTAGGTTCAAACTGCTGACCTTGCCATTAGCAGCCTAAGTTGCTTCAGACAGGAGGCTTCCTGAGGACTGGGGTGCCTATAGACACTTGTCAGCAGAGCTAGGCTTGCCAAGCCATTGAGAGAGCTGAGCACCTTAGGGCAGAGGCTTACTGCTGTGGAGTAGGGTAGCACGCCCCCTCCCCTGTGCACTTATCAGTAGAGATTAAGTGATTGCTAACACTGGCCGGAGTACAAGAGGGGTAAGGCTGTCTGAGATGTGTCTGACGTCTGCCTCGCAGGGACCAGCCTGGGGCGGCAGCTGCTGCTGATTCCCCCTTTGGGCAAGTTCGGGGGGCCATCTGGCCCTATCCGGCCACCATTTCTGCTTGGGCCTGACTTTCCCTTTTGCTGCGGTGGGTTTCACTGCCCTGTTTGTTTAATTAACTGCCGTGGCAACCACTGAAGCCAAAGCCACACGCTTGCTCTCCAGGCAGGGAGCAGCTGGAGGCGCAGGGCGAAGTTTCCATCGAAGAGCAATGATATTTTTCCATGATCCCTGACCCACACTGGGTTCACTGACATTTCCTGCTAATCCTCGGGGTCCTGTACACTCCGCCCCCCCACCCACCCCGGGTTTGCATCTGTAGGAGATAGTATTGATTCACTCACAAAGAGCCATGGTCATGTGCTTTAGTCAGTCACTAAACAGGGATGGGTGGGAGATGGGGGGGGGGATGGGGGCCCAACCCCTAGCATCCTTGCTTCCAGAGGGCCAGCAAGGATCCAGATGGGGCTCCTCACGGCCCTGGGATCTGTGGGGCTCTGCCAGCACAGTGAGCAGTCCCGGACACCTGGGGCACATCTCCATGGTGACGACAACCAGACAGAAGGACCCCATGGGGGCTGAGTGGGTGGGACCCAAGGCTCCGCTCCCTTCTGCTCCGACCTCAGCACGGTCCCTGCTGTCTGCCGGCCACAGCCCCGGGACTGGAAAGCTCCTGAGAGCTTCCTCGTGGCGTGTGGGGGGCTCTGTCCTCACAGCAGAGGCAACCCTTAGGGAACTGTGTTCCCCAGCCGACAGCAGCACAACCACACAGGGGCCCTCTACCTTCTCCTGGGTTAGGAGCGCTGGGGGAATCACCTGAGGTGCTCGGGTCCTTTGAGTCCTGGAGGCCCACCATGGGCTTAAGAGACAGTGGCCAACTTCACTTTCGGTGAGGCCAGCCGTCACAGTGACGGAGGTGGGGCCCTGAGGAGGCGCAGCCACAGCAGCAACAGGTGTAGCAAGTGTCGGCTTCCCAGCCCAGCCCACCAGCCAGGCGGGGCGGGGTGGGGGGAGGGAACAGTGAAGAAAAGAGGGTGAGCAGGGTGACCTGGCCCCAAACACAAGACAAACCCTGGCAGCACTAGACACGGCTGGGCTTCAACTGGGTTTCTAAAGTGGAGGATGGGCTCTACACCAGGCCACAAGGTGGGGGGGAGGGGGGTTCCTCTCCATAGGAAGGTCACACCCAAGCTAGGAAGAGACACTGAGCTGTAGGATACCGGGTGCTGACCGAGGGGCTCCTTTAGCTGGGACTGGGGATCCCAGGAGGGTCCGAATGGACAGAATGAAGTCCGATCCCCTGCTGGGCTTCCATCAGAACCAGTCCGTCCCATCTGCTGCACAGTCTCGAATCCCTCTCCCCACTCCCACACACAGTAGGTCTTGTTGTAGCGCACCTGGGCCTGGGTGTCAGCACTTCCTAGGCTTCCTGCCTTTGAAAGGAAGTGAGCGCAGTTTTAATAAGCTCCCCCACGCAGAGTCGAGGCCGTAGCCTTGCAAAGTCTCGGCTTACACCTGGTGGCCCACCTGGGAGGGGGGTGGCGCTGACGCCTGTTGGAAAGGTGCAGTCAGGGTGAGGTAAGCAGGGTAAGGCTCGGGCAAGAGGTGGGGGTCCTGGGGCTGCAGAGCAGGCCGGCCCAGTACCCTGGGGGTCCCACCAGCCGAGTCCCCTCTGTGAGGCCCACCGGGGGGGATTTCATGGCGAGGAAGCACTGCCACTCCCAAAGCACCTGCCTGGAGGCTCGGTGAAGAAGCGGCCACCCACAGCCGCCCAGCAAGGCTCACAGTCAGAACCAGGAGCAGTGCTCACAGCGTGTGGGTTTACGGTGATGGAAAGATCACAGTGGTTAAGGGTGGGGTCCCCAGCTGACTAACTGCTAAGTTCTCCACCTATAAAAAGTTGAATCTGCAGAGGCTGAGACAGATTTACATGACATCCCCCCCCCCACCCAAGTCACTGCTGGGGCTGCTATGTACAACCCAAAGGCTCGCGGACTTTGGTTTCTTGGTTTAGGGTCATGTTTAATGGATCATCTCTGCCAATTTACCTAATAACGCATTGACCATTTTCAGTCTACCTCCTAGCTAGTTGGATACAGACTACACTGCCGAGGTGTGAGGCACTTATGAGCCGCCACCCAAGGCCCAACAATTGGTCTCCAGTCACCTGGGTCATCAAAGGGAGGAGGAGAGTCAGGATGAGGAAGGGGCTACGGAATGGTGGGCCCCAGTGAACAGCTGCCATGAGACCGGAAGAGCTAGGAGGTGCCCCACTCCTGTTACTGAACTGTGTGGATTAAAGATTCTACAGAAGAACCCTGATCCAACACGCAACAACGCAGAAGAGAATGTTACATTCTCATGGACTGCACACTTCCTCAAGGCGTGGGGTCGGACGGTCCTACTGCCCTGAGATCAGCTTTAAACTTTTAACCTGAAATACCCCAGACGTCCTCTGAAAACAGCTTAACTGGTAAGAAGTCTGCCTTCAGCATAATATGTCTTAAACATGGATGGATGGGGATTGAAATGACAACAGCCACTTAAAGCCACCAGGGGGGCACTGTTGGAGCAGACGGAGGCTGAGAATAGCTGGACCACTTGCGGAATGTGACGCAGGCCACTGAGTCACAACCGGAGAAACTAGCGAAGCGGTGTCTGTTTTGTGGTGGAGCCCCCCCCAACCGCCATGCGAAAAGAACTCATAAACCAAATACCAACAGCAGTGCCACTGGAAGGGGGTCTCTGGGGTCAGCCTCCTCTCTGACGGGCTGCGGTGGGCAGAGCTAGCAGGCTCCCCATGAAGAAAGCTTTCTGGGCCGGGGCAATCCCAGCTTCCCTCCGTCAGTCCCCTACCAGCTTACCACCACCCTTTGCAAACCTGCTTACAACGCTGGCCTGAACTGGCTCTCGGGGAGACCCAGACCCTAGTTTCCTCCTCACAGACTGGATGGAGTGGGGAGGCCCCTGGAAGGTTCTGAGGGCCCGTCCCTCAGGCCCTGGGGAGGGGTGCCGAGAGACCCTCATTGTAGGTTCCCAGGAACGGCCTTGTTCTACCAAAGTCGGAAACCCAAACCCACATTCACAGCGACCCGAAAAGACAGTGTCTGAGTGTGAATCTTGGTTGACGCTGACTGCCTCCTCTTTCTCCTGCGGAGCAGCTGGTCGGTTTGAACTCCTGACCTTCACGCAACAGCCCACTGTGCCACCGTGGCGCCGGTGAAGTCCCAACCACCTCGCCCGATTCCCTTCTCGCAGGGCAACAGACCCTTCTGCCCCCACTGGCCCAGCAGGGCTCTAGTTCCCTGCTACGGACGGATGGACAGACGGACTAAATCGTGTCCCACCGGAAAATACAGAAACATAATTGGGTGATGATGGACGGATGCGGCGCTGTTTCCAAACATGCTAATGAGGACAGCTCGGCGTAGAGTGTCCCCCAAACCGATCACTTCTGAGATGCAGAAAGAGCAGAGTGTCCACAAACGTGGACCTGAGCGGAAGCCGGCAGCGCTGCAGCTACAGAAGCTGAGGTACGGTCTGTCTCCAGAACTGATGGAGGGAGCGGCCCCTTCCTGACCGGCGAGTGGGTAAGTTTCTGTTCTCTAAAGCCGGCGCCTGGTGGTATTTCTGGACCCCAAGCCACTCACTGCCCATCGCCCTGTCTGGGCCACCCGTCGGGCAGCCAGGGACAATGTGGAGAGCCTCCTCCAGAGGTGGGCATGGCTGATGTGAGCTGGAGGAACAGGAGGGAGGACAGGGGGACGACCCCCTGACCTCTGCCAGGCCAGCCCACTGTAGAATCCCACCCCTTGCAGGCTGTGTCAGTATTGTCCTTAAGTTGCAGGGTGGGTTGGTGCATGAGGCTCGAGTGGACACTGAGCCTGGGGCCAAGTGGAAGCAGCCAGAGTCCACCGTGCCCACCCTGCCAAGAGCCCCTCTGCCACCCTGCAACCCCATGTTGCCTCTGCAGCTCAGGCGCAGGCAGTGGGCGCATGATGAGTGGCTAGTGCCGGGCAGGACATGCGTGTGCAGGGGCTCTGGGCCCAGCCACGGTTGGGGGCCCTACTCACTTGAAGTTCTCGGGGTACTCGGTGATGGCCATGTTGATGACGTCCAGGGCGTGCTGGTAGTGTTTCTGGGCAGAGAAGAGCAGTGCCAACAGGTGGAGGGCGTTGGCGTCGTCCCGGCAGACCTTCAGGGCCTCCTGCAGCTGCTCCATGGCGCTGGAGATCTGCCAGAGAAACCTGCTGCTTGGCCACCTGCACTTCTTGCCCACGTAGGCCGGTGGCTCTGCCACTGAACACGCCCTACCCCCCAGGGCTTGGGGGACTGGGGCCAGGCAAGGAGGGCACACCAGACTAGGCGTGAGTAAAATACTGGGGGCTAAGGGGCAGAGTGGGACACAGGCCTTGGGCCACCCTCTATCTGCTGCTGGCCTGGCTCAGACCCTGGAGGCGGCTGCCATGCCCTTTCAGGGACTGAGAGGAACTGGGATATTGAGGCACAGAGGAGGCAGGGTGCACACAGGGCCACGGGGCCATGCTGCCCAGAGCTGGACATCGGGCATGTGCCGGGCCTGGCCCTGTAGAGCCGGCTGGCAGGGACTGTGTGCGGCTGTTGGGGAGCCCCTGCAGAGGCTGCTCTGGGGGTGGCCCTGAAAGATATCCCAGCAGGTGTGGTCTGAGTTCATGGCACAGGGGGGTGACCAGAGGCCACCATGGGCCCAGAGACCATAGATCTGGGTGTTCAGCCTCCTGTCTCAGAGGTCCTGGGCCACCCCTACTCTTGGGGAACCTGCTCTAGGCAGGATGGGCTGGAGGGCCAGAGTCCATTCGGGGGCTCCTATTCTGCACAAGGTTGCTCAGATCTGTGCCACCTCCTACTCCCCACCCCACTGAAAACCAGGCACCAGACCGGCTGACCTGGCCCACCACCAGCTGAATGCCATCCATGGGAGATAATTAAAGATATGGAAAATGGACCACCAAAGGGGCTTCGTGAACTTGATCGGCAAGACAACCCCACGGCGGTCAAGCTGACTCCCCATGGCGCTGGAGAGCAGAGCAGAGTGGCCCTCTGGGTCTCTGAGGTTCAGTCTTTGCAGGAGCAGCAAGCCTCATCTTTCTCCCAAGCAGCTGCTGTTGGTTTTGAATGGCTCACCTTGTGGTTGCCAGCCCGACACCTAACCCACAGCGCCACTAGGGCCCCCTGGCTCTTAGGGAAGCACAAACCCAGCAGTCCCTGGTGGAGTTGAGAAGCACCCAGTGCCCATTCAGGGGTGACCGGGTGAGTGGGTAGGGGGTGGGGTGGCAGTCTCTGGGCAGAGCAGGTTGAGCGGGGGATGGGGCACAAGAGCAAGGGCGAGAAACCGCATATGACTGGGAGAATGATAGCGGGCCATTTGGGAGATGACCTGGCTGAGTCAGAAAGACCCAGAGTGCGGGAAAGTGGGGCTCGGCAGGAGAGCCACAGAAGGCAGGGCAGATGTGGGCACGGGGCAAAGCTTGAGGTGCAGGGTGAGGGGTGCACCAGGGGCCAAAGAGCCCAGCCAAAGGCAGGGTAAAGCGGACAGGAAATGGAGTGGGGCTCGAATGCCAGAGGAGGAGGACACAGCTCGCTGAACTGCAGCTGAGACGAGAGGCTAACACTGACACTGCCCAGAAAAGCAGACCTCCTGGCGGCTGAGCCAGGCTCCATGTGCCCGGTCTCCAAAGGGGCAGCGCAGGCAGCGCTGGAGCGGGTGGAGGGGTTCTCCGGGGGCGGCAGGGGCTCCGTATAAACGTGCAGCCTGTTCCCTCAGGTCCCCGTGGGACTAAGGCCGACTCCCTCATCAGTTGGGGACAGCAGCTGCCACGCCAGCCCTGCTGCCCCTCAGCTGACCACAGCAGGCTGGTGAGTGCAGGTGGGAGGTGCCCCATCAGCCTCACTAGGTCCAGCACAGAACAAGCCCCATGCCAAGGCCCGCTTTGGAGGCTGGGTGAGTGCACTGCACACTGGGCAGGGAGCAAAGGAGACACTTGGGCTGGGGGCGGGGCCGGGTGCAGCTGGCTTGTGTCCCATGACAAACGGTGTCCAGCAGCTCGGCTCAGGAAGGCCGCTTGAGGGTGCATGTGAGGGATGTGGTTCCCGTGGGGCCACCTCAGTCAGTGGGTGGGAGCCCATTGTTGGCTCCCCGAGGACGAGGCCAGCAAGGGTGTCCACGGGGCCAGGGGGAAGCTCTGTAGGCACACAGAACCTTCCAAGTGCCAACTGCTCTATCGCCCAGGTCCCCAGGGAAGGCTAGCGGAAGGCAAAGATGCCAAGTCACGCTGGCTATGGTCACGAGCCAGCTCCTCCGGAGCCTGAGATATTCTGGGGGCCGGTGGGCAGGGGAATGCCCTCTTCTTGTGTGCCCACCACGGAAGAGGGGCTTCGCCCACACCTCCCGATTCATGCTTGGGAAAGTGGAGGGTCAGTGGCTGCAACAGTGGGCTCTGGCAGGACGGCTGTAAGGACGGTGGCATGGGTTGGCTCTGTTGTACACAGGGCTGGCTGGGGCCAGGACCTATGTGAGGGCGTGGAAGTGACGTTCGCGGGAGCCCTGGTGGCGCAGTGGATAGCCGTTGGGCTGCTAACCCCAAGGTCAGCAGTTTGAAACCACCGGCCGGCTCTGTGGGAGAAAGACGAGGCTTTCTACGCCTGTAAGGAAAGTGAAGTTCGGTGAAGTTCAGAGGGTATGTCACCTGCAGACAGTTGCACAGATCACCGGGCATTGTGCCAGGAGGTGACATGGGCCTGGGGATTAGGAACAGCGTCTACCCACCTGTCTGACAAGGGCCAGCTGCAGAGAGACATAGAGGATGATCTGGGGGTCACCAGGTGCCAGCTGCTGGGCCCTATGTGGGGAGAGAGGGCACATCAGCACCACGGGACTAGCAATCACGCGCGACAGGGCCTCCAGCATGCCAGCCCTGTGCGCCCTATGGCTCAGGGGGACGGCCACAGGCGGCAGAAGGTAACTGAGGGGGCTGGTGCTGGCTTTGGGTGTGGACAGTCTGGGAGGGCACAGCCTGGAGGCAGCAGCCACAGGAGGGTAAGAGTCGTGGCAAGGGAGGGGTGACTACAGTGCAGGCCTCTCCCCCGTGCACCCTGTGGCCTGGTCACCCCAACCAGGACACCAGGACAGAGCACCTCCCTGAGGGTGGCAGGCTTAGGGACAGCCTCTCTGGGCAGACAGCTCTCAGAAGTGCAGAGGGGCCCAGCCAGCTCTGCATGGTGGTGAAACCTGGCTCGAAGCGGGAAAGGGGTGGGGGGCTGGGGGGCATCTCAGTAGCCTGAGAGCCCAGGAAGGAAGTCGGAGCGGGAGCCAGCCAGGCAGGGGAGGTATGTGTCACCACAAGGCAGGCACACAGGGCCCAGGCCAGGCTCCTTCCCAGCAGGTCTCTGCACAGGAGGGCTGAGACGAGGCAGCGGGTGGAGAAAGGAGAGGGAGGTGGTCATAGTTAATAAGCATCAGGCTGACAAGGGGTGGCCTGGGTGGGGGTAGCTGCTGGGAGAGGGGCCACTTGGTTCCCTCCCTGCCCCCAAGTGGCCAGGGGCTCCCTGTAAGGGCAATGCTGGGGCCGGGGCTGGCGGGAGGCAAACACTTTGTTGGGCCCCTTGCTTCATCTCATGTCACTGTCCCTGTTCCACGAGTGGCTATCATTACCATCTTAGAGCCACTCCAAGCCCAGGGGTACAGGGGCTGTGCCTAGGGCTGCCTTGGCCCCAGCTGCTAGCAGAGGGTGGGTGGTCTACCCGTGTTGATGGGGGTGGGCAGCAGAGCCCCGAGTTGGCCTCGAGCCCACCTGCCCCACAGCAAAGCCTGTCCTTGTTCCTGTGTGACTCAGAGCCTCCGTTTCCTGGTCAGTAAAACGGGGACAGTCTCCAGAGTCCCATGAGCACGTGAATGTCACCTCGTGCCACCAAAGTGGACTGGGGGTGCTCCTCACCTCTCCAGCGTCTGCAGTGCCTTCCTGTGCAGTTCATCTTGCTTGGATTTCAGGGTTGCTGCAGGAGACATGACGGAGACAGGCATGGGAATGGCCGAGAGGAGCTGGCCCCTGAGATCCTGACCACAACACACACACACACCCTGCATGACAGGCCCCAGCAGGGTCCTGCCCGGCAAATGCCTGAGCCCAAGTGGCACTGCCACAGTCACTGAAGGAGGTGTGTGGGGGGGCACCCACCCACCCACCCAGCCTGGCCTCCCAACGTGTTTCTGGGCGACTTCCTTTGACCTTATAGCCGTCTTTCCCACCGGGGCCGCGGGTGTGGCACGAGTGCCACACCCAGGAAGCCCCCAGTTCCAGAGGCCACTGCCTTTTACCCTGGTCATGTGCCCTTAGGCTTCTGTACCCACGAGCCTCCTTGCTTGGACCCACACTGGACAACCTTCTGGATAGTTGCCTGCCTGCGGAGCCACCTGGGAAACTTTGGAAGGGCCTGCCAGGCAGGCCCAGTCCAGCCTCCCTCCTGGTGGGGCCCAGGCACCCACAGCTCCTTCTACGGCGGCAGGCTGACTCACTGCCCGCCGGCCAGGGCTGAGAGGGCTCTTTCTGGCCAGAGGAAGCCTCAGGATGATGCTCTCCCTCCCTGGGTATGGACAGGTGCCCAGGCGTTCCTTGTTCAGGGCAGAGAGAAAGGCTCCCACACCCTGCAGAAGCCCTGCCAGTTGCTGAGAAAGGGCCACACCTGACCTCTTACAATGCCCGCCCACCTTGGTACACGGTAGGCAGGTAGCCTGTGCTAACCCTTGCTGTGCAGGGTCTCTGAGGCCAGTGCATAGAGCTCCGTCCCCTGGGGACTGTGTGGGTGGGGCCACTGACTCCTCCAGGTTTGCTCTGGATCGGGGTCTATCACCCTTTCTCCCTCAAGCTGTCAGGGCAGCGCCCAGCATGGTGCCAGATGCCGGGGGCTGAAAAAGGCCGGGAGGGCTTGGAGGGCTGAATGCCCACTGACGGACCACAGCAGGTGTGCAGACATGGGCTGGGCCTGGAGGGGTGCTGTGAGCTGGTTCCACGGGGGAGAGAGGGGTGGGCACCTCTAAGAAGGGTGACCCCCAAGGAGAGTGGAGACGGGCCGATTACGTGTGTAGGAGCGGGCCATGTGCGTGCCTAAGGCGGAGATGACTTCTGCCCCAGAGGAGGGGAGGGGGTGGCAGAGGTGGGGTTGGGACGGGCACTCACCATCAGTGGCCTTCAGGCTGTAGGTCAGACCCAGTGCCAGGTAGCCCTTGGAGAGGAACTCCCCGGCCTCCTCGCCAAGGTCGACCACCATCCTGGCAAAGCGCTCGGCCTCCTCCAGCTGCAAGAGAGGAGAGGGGTGGTCACCAGGAGGAGGGCTTTGTGGGCTCGGGGTGGCCACCTGCCCGCCCAGTCCTTTTTGGAAAAACAAGTAGAACTCCTGGGCCTAAGGGTGGCACCCAGCTTGACCCCAGCAGCCCAGGGTGAGGCTGGACAAGTGCAGGTGGATGGATGGGTGGGTGGGTGGAGCGACCAGAGAGGAGAGGCAACAGAAGCTGCTTCCTCTGCCAGCGATCAGGGTCAAGGGCTTGGCCTTCCAAAGAGACCCCTGGGCTCACAGCCTCCTCTGGTGAGAGCGCTGGTCTGGGCAGCTGCCCTCCTATATGGTTTCTTTAGGCCACTGGGGGCGGGAGGCCCTGGGTGGGCTTCTGCCAGCCCTGCTGAGCGTGCACCGGCACTGGCTCCGTCTGCCATTGCTCTCTGGGGTGAGGAGCTCAAACAGTTCAGGGAAAAAGACCTGGGGCTGTTTCTGACCCCAGAGCTGGAAGGACGTTCTAATTGGAATGGAACTGACCAGCCTGGGCCACGTGTGACCCAGCACCGTAAGAGGTCCATGATGTTGGCTGCAGGGAGCACACAGGGAGCCTCAGGAGCATGCACATGCCCCCTGCCCCCACACTCAGCCAGCTGTGGAGGGGGCACCTGGGGGTTACCGTGGGGCTCACTCAGCCCCCAGGCAGCAGAGTGCAAGAAACGCCCCCTCCCTCCCACCAACTGCCGGGAATGTCGCTGAGAAACGTTTGCACACAGAGCAGGGACGCTGTCTCCTCCTGAGATCCAGGCTACCTCACGGCAGGGCAGCACAGTCCCCATAGAGCCCTCCTCCACGCCAGCCACTGGGCAGGAGACTCAGACCACAGCGGATCCCCAAGCCGGTGCAGCCGGCTCCCATCCCCAAGCTCTGCTTAGCACTCCCAGCTGTGTAGCCTGATGGTTCTCTGGCCTGGAGCGGGGGTTGGTCCCCCTGAGGCTGTGCACAGCCAAGTGAGTGGGGTGCACACAGAGGGGAGCCAAGAGCCCACTGCATAGGCTACAAATCGTTGAGCCCTTAAGAGGGATGGAGCTGACGCAGGCCCTGGCAAACACTGACCAGGGCGGGCCTCTCACCTGCTGCAGTGGCTGGGCTGCAGGTTGGTGGGCTGGCCTCTCAAGGGTGAAGGAGTCTGGGAAGTTGGGCCCTGGCCTTGAGCATCATGTGGCCAAGGACTCAGGGCCAGGGGACCTCCTGACCTGAAGGCCTAGTCCGACGGTCCAGAGAGCACGGAGTCAGCCTCCAGCCTGGCTTGCTTCCAACAGCCCTGAGGCTTTGGGTCAGCCACTCAGTGTCCAAAGGTCCTTACTGGCATATTGGGACTTTGTGCCCTAACTCTAGTCACTCCTACTAATTCCTTCCGCCTATAGGGGCAGGGGTGGCCCTGGGTTAAGGCTCCACTGAGTGGTGCCGAGGTCTCTGGGTGGCAGGGCCATCTGCAGCCAGCTGATAACCTAAAGGTTGGCAGATCCAACCCACCCTGCTGCACCAAGGAGGGAAGGTCTGGCGATCTGCTTCCATAAAGGTTCACACCCCAAACGCCCCAAACCCAAACTTGCTGCCATCGAATCCACTCTACCTCAGAGTGACCCTCTAGGCAGGAGAGCTGCTCCTGTGAGGTCCTGAGACTGTAATTTTATTTTTACAATACTTTTACTGGGGGCTTTTACAGCGCTTATCACAATCCATACATTCGTCCACTGTGAGACTAGAACTCTTGATGGAAACAGGAAGCCTCCTCTTCCTTCCCAGAAGCAGCGGGTGGTTTCAAACGGCTGACTTGCGGTTAGTGGTCCAGTCACAGCCACAGAAACTCTGTGGGGGCAGTGACATAATCCACGGTCAACTTGAGGAAGGGGTGGAGCCTAGCCTGTCCATCAGGCCGCAGCTTGATGACCTCATGTGGAGGTACGAAGGGGATAAATAGCTTGCTGGAGGCCAGACCCACTCTCTGTGCTGGGTCTCTCTGGGAGACATTCCTGTTGACAAGCCACATGGAGCTATGCTGATGGCAGCCAGAGCCCTGGAGCTGGAGGAGCCACGTGGAGACCCACACCAGCGCTGAGATGCTTCCACCGCCACTGGATCCACAAGACTTTCCACCCACTGGCCTGTGATCTTCCTGCATTCGGTGTTACTGCATTTGTTGTGTGAGTCTGACGAAGAATTTACAGACACATGGACTGATATTGTACTGATGGACTTGATCTAGATTGGGCTGGGATGTTTTCTTAATACACAATTACTCTTTTATATAAAGCCCTTTCTTATACATGAGTGTCTGTGAATTTGTTTCTCTAGTCCACCCGGACCAACACGGGTCAGTTCTCTGTCTCACGCCATGCAGTAGTGTCAACTCCAGGGCAATGGCATGGTGTGGACTGCAGAGGAGGGCTCAGCCAGGAGCTCCTCCGCTCCTTCCTAGGTGCCCACTGCTGGTCCGGCTCATCCCGCACTGTCTTCAGGAGCTTAGGAACCTCCATTCAAACGGGAGCCTGCTTCCCATGGGCCACCAAGAACAAGTGATAAAAGGGTCCAGAGATGCACCCACCACCACATATTGCTTCCCCTGGCCACATCCTTCAGACGCAGCCAACGCCAGCCTGCTTCCTACAGCCCGTGCAGAGAGAGCCCAGCCAGGCTCAGCACACGTACTCAGCTGACACATCCTAGACCTCGGCAGCCTTTCCCTTTAAAAAGAGACAGTGTACAGCCCTGGCTTGTCCGATGGGTGGCTCACCCTGAGCCTCAGCTGGCTGGCATTCCTCAGCCAGGGTTTGCCAGACGAGTCTATGTAGTTGTTGTGTGGGCTCTAAGCTTGTGGTCTGGTTAGCCAGAGCTCCAATGGAGCCCCAGAAGGGGACAGGCAATCAGCATGCGTGCATGGCTGTTATGAGAAAGGCTGAAGGCCACCCAGAAGTGCCTTAGAAGAAAGGCCTGGCAACCCACTTGTTCCCCCCAAACCCCAGCCATTGAGAACAGTGACCGGCAGACACACATGGGTCACCATGGCTGCCTGTCCTCTGGGCGGCCTCCAGAGTGGTCTGGGCTGCTGCTCCTACGAGCAGCTTGGCTCCCAGCATCCGCTTCCCTCTGGCCCTGCACACGATGGGGAGGGGGCTTCAAAGTAGTTCTTTCAGTCTCTCTCCTCCCACGGACGCCCTGCTTTTCAGTGCCCCCTGTAGCGAGGGCAATCCTCAAACACGGCCAGAGCCAGCCTGCTCCCCTCGCAATTCTGGAGTGAATCTGAGCATCCCAGCTCCCTGTGGGAGAGGTGCTCAAACAGCTGCAGATTCTGAAGCACAAGGAGCTTGAAGTGGCCGCCCAAGGCCACTGGGGCCAAGAGTTCAGCCCCGATCTCCTGCCTCTCAGCCAGGATCTCCCTGAGCTGCCCAATTGCTGGCCACCTGCTAGTTTTCCATGCTTCGTTCTCCTCTCTGGCCATCTGGGAAAGGTACACAGAGGGATACATGTTTCACAACCCAGGACAGATCCTGGTCTCCTTGCAGGTTCCCATCTGTCCTTGCCCTGTGTTGGCCCAGATGGGCTTCCCCCGGCTTGCTTGCTTGGCTTGCTTGCTTCCTTTGGCCCAGGCGGCCTCTTCCACCTCACAGGGAGGCAGAGGCTTTGCCCTGGGAATCTTCGGCCCCTGGAGCTTTGCTTAAAGAGCACTAGCAGCTTCTCCTTAGCTCCTTCCCACTCACCAGGAAGCTACTCAACTGGAATTCCAGGGAGGAGGTTGGAAGGAGGAGGAAAGAGGAGGAGGGAGGAAGGTGGGAGGAAGGAGGGAGAAAGGAGGAGGGGAGAAGGAGGGGGAGGAGGGAAGAGGAGGGGCGCCTGCTAATCTCTCCACAAGCTGGTGGTGGCAAGAGAGCTGGCATCCTTTCTCCCCGGCTCATCTGCCTGGCTCCACCCGCCCCTGGAATCTGAAACCCCAAGCAAGGCACAGCTCACAAAAACACATCCTTTCTGAACGCTTCCATGTCCGAGGGGCATGCGAAGGGCTAAAGCAGGGTCACTCCTCGATGCTGGTGTTTGCGGCCACCCTGCAATGATGGACATGGCAGACTCCAGCTTACAGGCGAGGAGAGCAGAGCCCAGGGCTCGCCCAAGTTACACACAGCTAGTAAGTGGTGAGGTGGGGATTTGAACCCTCGGCCCGCTGCCTCCAAACCGATGCACTTTGCACCTACCCCAGCTGCTCCCCCTCAGGGGAGGCAGACAAGAGACACCCTGCACCTCCTATAAGCACCATGTTCAATTCCACATCTGGAGGGGCACTGAAAGTCATGCACGTCCACCCTAAAGGACACTGGCCTTGCCGAAGCCTCTCTGGTTCCATCAGTGTCATCTGAGGTGCTCCGCCCATACCCAGGGGCGAGACGGGCCAGGGCTGTCGTACCCCAAACTCCACCCCAAACCCCACCACAGCCAGGACGGGGCCAGGCGAAGCCTTCTGCTTAAGCCCCGGACCCAGCCCCGGGGTGCCCCACACTAGCTCTGGGCCAGGGACAGGACATGGGGACAGCGGGTGCTCCACCTCTGGGCACCAGTCCACCCTGCTGGGTTTCACCCAGCACGACTCGTTCTTCCAGTGTCCTAGTTTCAGACTCTCTTCCCGTAAGCTCGGCCAAATTGTCCACCCCCAGATCTCTGTCCCCTGCTGTGGGCTTGGCTGGGCCGCCCGGTGGATGCCAGCCGGAAGAGCTGGGAAGGCCAGAGTCGGAGGCGGCGTCGGAGGGCTTTAGGAGTTCAGCGCTAGCACCCCTGCCATCGGCCCCAGAGCAGCGAGCTGGGTGCTGTCCTCTGGGCTCCCCTGCTGCCTGCCCAGCGCCAGCCCAGGCACCCAGAATGACCGCTGAGTGCAGGCACCAGCAAATGCAGATCTCCCACCTGCCCGCTTCAAGCAAGCTGTGACCTGTGAGCCATCTTCTAAGTCATGTGGGGTTCCTTGTGGGGCAGAGTGAAAGACAGGGTTACACAAGGGGTCCCCAGCCTAGTCGCGACAAGTACCATATAAGGAGACTCGGATGCTGACTGACTGTGCTCACCAGCAAGCAGTGTCCACCATCGAGCCGCAGGCTGGGGTTTCCAAGGACACACGGACACCACTGTGTCCCAGGGGCCCCACAGGAGCGCCAGCGCAAGTGTGAGTGGCCTTCATGGCAGCACAGGGTTGCGGCTTTCAGGTCAGGGAGGAGGCCAGGGGCCCCAGCCCGGCTCAGCGCCGTTTGCCCACACAGGGTGCTGCTCGGAGGTTACCAGCACCCTCTCCCCAGTCCTCGTGACAAGTCTGCGTGGGGAAGCTTCCCTTTGGGCTTTTCTATTTGTGTTGTCATTGATTACTTTGCTCCTAGCTCATCTGAGTTCAATTTGGACTGATTGGATCCTAATTTTATTATCCTGTCATCTGAATGCACATAATTACTGTAATTACTGCCGAGGGAAACAGCTCCTCCTTGGCGGCGGGGAAACCTAAATTTAGGGCTTCCTGGCAAGGGTGGCCTTGGAGGGGTGGGCCCGTGGCTGCCTCTGCTGGGAGCTGGCAGCCGAGAGGCGTGCAGATGCCCTCCCCCGCCCCCTTGGGGAGACGGGTATTTTGGGGACCTTGGCAGCAGTGCGTGGACCCCCTAGGAAGCCCTGGGGAAAGCAGGGGCCTGGGGCTCCCCTCACACCCCACCTTCCAGTGCCAGGGCACCTCCTTTCCACCTGCATCCAGAATGCTGCTCCTGAGGCACACCCCACAAGGTGCCAGATGCCAGCCATCATTGAAAGGAACTCAGGGGGTTCCCACTAGGGATGGGGCTCGGGGAAGCCGTTGGGGATAGCTCACTGCACCTAGCCCGCGCTTCCTCCCCCAGAGAGCCAGTTGCTGACACTGCATCGAGGCAGGAGCTATCACTGTGCCCACTTTACAGACAAGTATAGTGAAGAGAAGCCAGTCTAGGGGCTGCATCGAGACCAGGCTGCTCTCAGACAGCGCAAGGCTTCACCATGGGGCCTCGCTGCCTGCTCCGCACGTCCAGAGGCCATTGTGGGATTGGCCAGAAAGACATGCTCTCCCAAATCTAAACGGACTGGTCCCAGAGTGCAAGCCCTAGGTCAGAGCCCCGTTGGCCCACACCCACAGGGCTCGCTCATGAGGGCGGGCACTGAAGGTCTGAGGATGGGGAGGAGAAAGGGGAGTGTGTGTTGCTGTTGTCAGCCTGGGCTGGGCAGAGTGCTACTGTGCTAGAGAAAGCCCAGCCTCCCCTCCCACCCCCACCCTGAGCCCTGACACTGGGAGGAGGGGTGGGAGCCAGCTGCCAGTGATTGTGGGAGCTGACTGGGTTATAGCATGGTATGGGAGGGGTTGCCAATGGCACCATTCCCAGGGCCTGCTGGGCACCCAGAGGGGACCCGGATGGACAGGAAGTGAGGTAGGGTGCACCTCGGCACACTGACGGTGAGGTGCGGGACACCGGGCTGCCAGGAGCTGGGGAAGGCCACCTCCTGGGGCAGCTCCATCTCTGGGGGACTTGGCCTGAAGGCTAGGCGATGTGGGGTGGTAGCGGGAGTCTCCCAAGAGGGAGGGGTTATAAGAGTAGAAATGGGACCACCCTGCCTTTGGGGTGTGGGGGGGGCGTTGAGAAAATTGGACTGTCAGGAAGTGTTATTTATGCAGAGGTGCCAGGCTTGGCTGTCCATTGTGGGGCTGAGTGTTGTGGGCCCATGACATGGGCCCTGCAAAGCCTGGGGGCCTGGGGACCAGGCAGGGCTGGGGCTCTGGACCCGACTGGTGCTCTTGAGCCAGTCCAAGGTCCTGGCCTTCAGGAGGGTGTGCAGGAGGCTGTGGTACAGGCCACCAGCCTGGTAGAGCGTCACCCCCAGAGCTCATCTCCCCACAGTGCAGAGGCCGAAGCAGAGCAGGTGGGCGTGAGGGTGGGGCAGCTGGGGGGGGTGTGCCAAGGAGGAGGGGCTACAGAAGAGTTTGGGTCCCCATTCTGTGCAGGGCGTTGAGAAGCCACTCAGAATCGCCCGTGGGTCCTGAGGCACTGGACAAATGGAAGCCCCTAAGACAAATGGGTTGGCCTGCTTGTCCACTCCCCTCCTCGGGCTGGGGGGAACCTCTGTTCGCCCTGCACAGACTTTCCGGAGACGGCATGTCAAGGTGGAAGCCGGACAGACTCCACCCGCATCGGAGCGCCTGCCATGGAGCTGGACACTGGAGCTTTCCCGAGAAGCCTGTCTCCTGCCCAGGTCCTGCCCTGAATCTCCCCGACACCGCCGCTCCCAGATGCCCTCACACACATGCCCATCTCCATTGCTCTCCACCTGGTCCTGCCCTCTGCGCAGCTCACTCACCCAGTGCAGGGGGCCGATGCAGACCTTGGCGGCCATCAGGGGCACGGTGGGGTCCGAGGGCCGAAGCTTCGCACACTCTCTCAGCAGCGACACGGCGTAGGCCGACTGCAGGAAGAAGGGCAGCACACACTGTCACCGAGCCCGGGGCCGCCCCACCCACGACCAGCCCTGCTCTGCCCCCCGCTTTCTCCCAAGAGCCAGGAGAGCACAGCACGGGGGGCACTGGCTGGCCTCAGGAGCCAGACCCTCTTTGGGCCTCAGTTTCTCCTCTCCTGGAGAACAGAGGCCATGCCGCTCGCCAATAAGTGATCGGATGAGTGGGACGCTAAACAGACAAAAGCGCTTTACAAGGAACCAGGTCTGAGCCCCAGAACTTCCACAGGTAGAGAGGGGCTTCTCTCAAGATGCACTCAGGACCCTTAGCTCTCAGGAGGCAAAATCCCAGACCCGGGGCCAACGACCAAGGCCGACTTGCAGCTGCTCTGTTACGTTCTGAGAAAAAAATCCTCATCTTTTCCTGGTAGTGCGGCTGACCTTGGGGTTAGCAGGCCAGCGACCCCAAATCAAACTCACTGCCATCAAGTCGGTGCTCTCACAGCAACCCTATGGGACAGGGCAGACAGGCCGCCCCGGTGGGTTTCCGAGACTGTGACTCTCCGTGGGAGCAGACAGCCTCGTCTTTCTCCCTGTAGGTGACAAGAGGAGGTCAAATCCATTCAGAGACACGGGGAGGGTGGGGGGGCGGGTCAGGACATGCATCTAGGCCATGGAGCAGCCAGGGTCTGCCCCACATGAGTGGACTCAGCCACTCCACCAAGGACCACCCTGCAGCCAGCTGGCAGAGGTGGGGGATCCCGGAAGGCTGGCACAAGAGATGCTGGCTGAGCTGGAGAGCCTCCAAACTGTAATCGGGGATTCCCACAAGGCACTGGGGACTCGTCTATGTTAATGGGTCCATGGTGGACCTTTGAGGATGGCCAATTGTGGAGGGAGGGCCAGGGAGCAGACAGCATCCAGAGCCGGGCAACAACCTATCAATAAGGAGGAAAGACCAGGGGCTTAAATTAAGTGGAGAGCGAATGTTTTAAGAATGATGAGGGCAATGAATGCACCAATGTGCTTTACACAATCGATGTATGTAAGAATTGTGATAAGAGTTGTATGAGCCCCCAATAAAATGATTTAAAAAAAAAAAAGGAGGAGGAAAGGAGCGAACGCTTGACCTGGGCTGGGGAATGTCTGTGTAAGGCTGGAGAATCATCAACGGCAGCTCACACCATGCACCACGCTCCAAAGAGAAGCAGTCCCAGCCCTCACTCGCGGTGGGCTAACGAAATGTCTGACCAACATGGCCCTGAATGATGTTATAAATGTCCAAATGGTCCCTGGGAGAAAAAAGGTTCCCTACCCCCAAGCTAGTCACTGCTCTAAGCCACCAGTCAACCACCCGCGGCTGACAGGCCAAACTGGCCCTGGTTTTATAAATAAAGTTTTATCAGAACACAGCGTAGCTATTCGTTTCCACATGGCCTCTGGCAGCCTTCCTGCTACTATGGGAGAGCGGAGTCACGGGACAGCCGCTGTGCGGCCCACAAAGTCAGACGTGTTTCTTCCTAAGTGAAAATAGGTAGCTGCCCTGTTTTGAGTCTTTTACGGATACTTATTTAATCTTCCTGGGGCTCTGTGAGGTAGGCTTTCTGCCTCTACGCTCCAGAAGCGGAGATGGAGATGCGCAGAGCTGAAGCTGCCTGTGCGAAAGCACCCAGCCCGTAATGCTGAGCCGGGATTCCACCGGAGGGCTCTGATCCCCTGCCCCTCGGCATCCTGCGTGCCACCTCTGGTGCTCGCTTTGCTCAGGGGGAAGGCCTTTCTTCACAGGCGCACACCCACAGGCATCCACTGCAGCAGTGGCCTTCCCAGCACGCGTGTTCCTCTGCACGGGTGGTGCCTGGTGGGGAACGATGACAACTCACATGCTCTGAGCCCCTGTGGAAGGAGACTTGGCACTACAGATTGGCAATGGGCTATTAACTGCAAGGCCGGCAGTTCAAATCCATCAACCGAAACAGAAACAGAAGAGGCTGTCTGCTCGCCCCAAGATCCACTGTCTCAGAAACCCCACTCAGGGTTTCTAGGAACCAGAGTCCCCTTGCCGGCAGTGGGTCTGAGTTTGGGGCCCTTCCTGTGGGCTGAGCTGTCATGAATCAGATCTCATTCTGTCCCCAGAGGGCCACCTGAGCAGAGAGCAGATTGGGAATTCCGTCATCCACGGCACTCTGTTTGGGGCCAGGCCTACTGTGCCCCCAGGACCCCGGCCTCTCTTAGGCTAGCCCCTTCCCTCACCGGTGACAAGACGCAGGAAGTGTATTTCCACAAGCCAGGTGGGTGGGTTTTCTGGGCTCTCTGGCCTGGCAGCAGAGGTTTGCCAGGCCAACTCCAGGGGTCTTCACCCAGGGCCCCTTCGCCCCATGAGTGAGAAGGTGTGGAGTCCCAGCAGGACGAGGGCCCCGCAGAAAGTCTGGGGAGCGAGCGAGGACAAACACCCCCTCCCTCCAGGCTCTCAGCCACAAGAGGCGCAGCGTGGGCGTAGGGGCGTGGAAGCTGACGGGAGCTGAGGCCCTGGTGTGGCAGGAGCAGGGAGGTGTGTGCGTGGGCCCTCTATGCCCCTTAAAACCCCCATCCTGTGAGTACCACCCCCACACCCAACTCCACCCCATGGCCCCTAAGGGGAGAAGTGAGGAGAGACCGGGAGGCAGCAGCAGAAGGGGTCTCCTGGCCCCCTCACCAAGGGTCCTCTGACCACACCCCTTGGCGTGCTCCCTTAGGCTGCTGACCTTTGAGCCCTGAGATTTGGGGCTCTGGCCCCAACCCTGCACAGCCCACTCCCACTGAGACCTAGCTATGTAAGGAGCCGCCCTAGGAGAACCCAACAGCCAGAGCAGCAGCCGGCTCTTTGTCCCTGGCGTGCTGGTTGCCTAGCAACACAGCCTCTGCTTTTTGGAAGAGCCGGAGAGATGCCGAGGAGTTGGCTGCTGCTGCTTCCTGCAGCACAAGGGGTCTGTCTCATGATCCAGGAGGCCTGCTGACCACAGACCCTTGCCCCCCACCCCAGGCTCTTGGCAAGGACAAGGTCTGGTCACCCTCCTCCCAGGGCCCTGGGACAACCAGGAAGGTTCTGGAGATGGTGGAGATGATGCTCCTAGAACAATCTCCCGCTGCACCGAATACGCTGGGGCAGAGGGGATGTGACCCAGTACCTCCCGCCGGGGAGGGCCTGCTGGTCTCCCCAGCCCTCCCCGCATGGGGCTGCTGCACCTGCCGGCTCTCCTCCCCACTGGGCCTGGCCTCCGCCAGAGGCAGGGGGGCACTGCCAAGCCTGGGCAGGCCTCCTCAGAGACCAGACACACACAGATGGGCCGGGAAGAACTCCCTCAGCCACAGCAGGGCGGGGGGACGGGGGTGTTGGGGGTGCTTTCATGGCATTGGCAGCAATCTACACGCTCATATGCCACCCTTCCTTCCCTGGATTCGTAGCAGCCTCAGCCCCACACCCTCAGCACCGAGCCCCAGCAAGACTCTCCTTTCATGCCACTGCTTAAAATAGAGGCTTATGTCAGCATAACGCTGGCCTGAGGAGGAACCACGGGCGCAGAGCAGGGGGCTTGCTGCGTGGGGCTACCTAGGCCACCTGCTCTGGCAGGGCTCGTCCTGACCCGGCCCCCCTCCGCCTTGCCCATCACTCATGGCAGGTCCCCTTCCTGAGAAAGAGCTACAGCTCGAAGTGGATCCACAAGCCCCTTTGCGGTGACACAGCCGTCCCCGCGACGGGGCCGTCAACTCACCAGCGAAAGGTGATGCTGTCCCATGTGTACACACATGCTTACAGGAAAACGCCCACGGACCCCACCTGTAGCTCAGGGGAGGGGCCCTGGAGTCACATAGCACCCCCCCCCAACACACACACAGGGAATTAGAGTGAGTTAGGGGCTAACACTCTGGATTCCCTGCCCCCTTCCGCCTCTCAGGCACCTCACTCCCTCCCAGGGGGAGAGAGGGTGACGGTAGGCCTCCCAGCAGCCCTGGCCTTACCTTCCCGCACGCCACCATGGAGAGGGCCACCTGGTACCAAAGGTGAAACTCCCCACATGCAAACTTCATGGCTCGCTCTAGGCACTGGAGGGGGGGGTGTGGGAAAGAGTCCGTCAGCACATGCCCACCAGGCTGGCCCGCCCAGCCAACTCCCATGCCCTTCAAGGGCAATCACTGCCCAAAGGAAGCTTCAGGAAGCCCACCCTGGTTCCTACCAGCAAACTGCGGCCCCTGACCCCTATGGGCTGCATGACCCTCTGTGGTCCTCAGTCATCATACCTGAACATGTAAAAGCTGCTGCCCACCCGCACGCCCCCAGGGAGTGCCAGGATTGAACGAAGGGAACTTTCCAAAAGTGCTGTCAACATTCACACACTCCGTAAAAGTCATACCAGCTCACATGTGCTCAGATGGCACCTGGTGTGGGTCCCAGGCTCTAGACAGGGTCCACTAACGCTGAGGGGCAGGCTCTGACTGCCCCAGTGTACAGAAGAGGAAGCTGAGGCTTGTCTGACTTGTCTAAGGCCATGGGGACAGTACCCAGCCTGCTGTTTTCCTTGCTGCCAGCCACAGAAAGCTCCCATGCCCAGTTCCCGTGGTCCCTCTCCAGGGCTGCCCCGGGAGGTCAGACAGACGCTACAGACATGGTCTGGGTGAGGCAGGGGCCAGTCAGCAAGACAGAGCTGCTGGTACAGCCACTGCCAGGTGGGGTGGGTGCAGGGCAGGGGTACAGACCAATACCCCCTCCCCCTCTCTAGCACATACTTTAAGAATGCAAAGGCCTGAGCTTATACAAGGCACCCAGCAGGCACCCGGGTGTAATATCAGGCAAAGAAGTCACCTGTCTCGGCCACAGCCTGCTCTATGCAAACACGAGAGGGCAAAATCAAACCCAGGGTCACGTGAGAACTCATCTCAGGTTCAGGACTCGGCAGACGGCACAGACCCTCCAATGGAGTCCTTCTAAGCCCACCATAGGCTGGCCCAGGCCCACCTTCAATCCCAGCCTGCACAGAATGCTCCAAAATGTGCCAAGTCCTGGGGGCAGGGGGAGTGCCCACCCCGGAGAGGCACGCGGCCTGGGCAGCTGTGTCACCGGGGTGCCCTGTGCAGCCTGTTGGGAGGCAGGCCTCAGCCCACCCACCACTCTGCCTGGGACCCCTGCTAGGAGATGGGCACACATACCAGCTTCCCCTCTGCAGTAATTGGGGGTGGGGTGGGGGTGGGGCATTCTTCCCCTTGTCTCTACAATGACCAAGAGCAAAGCAAAGCGCTCCACACTCAGAACGTCCAGCGACGGGCAGCTAGCTCAGCGGTGGAAATGGGGCAGGCCCAAGCCTGGGTCTCCCCAAAACAGCCGCACAGCTTGGTGGAGGTGGGGAAGGGACCTAGGGGGGTCCCCCCGTCTGATTCCCTGAGCCAGGCTGTACCTCTGAGAGCATGACGTACTGGCCCCTCCTGCCCAGAGTGATGCTCAAGAGGTCGTAGATGGCCGCCGCGTTCTGCAGGCTCACGGTCCGGTCTTCCTTCTGCTCTGGCGTTCGGCTCAGCACCACGTCCCGCGTCGCCTGTGGGTAGGACGTGGTTTGACAAAGAGTAAGGATGGGGAACAAGCTGGTGCTGACGTACAGGCCCCTGCTGGCAAGCCTAGTCACCACTTTCCCTCCCTGGGGGCCCCGGGCAGGTGGGCCACCCCCATGTTGCCTTTTCCCAGCCCCTCCCCCACTCCCACGCAGGGCCTCGTAGGAGAGAGAAAGCCCCCCTTCCTTAGGCCAAGTTTGGGTCTGGTGTGGCGAGGTTCTGGGAGCTCAAGCTCCTGGTATTGGATATTTTATTCTGAACAACAACAAAAGCCCAAATCTACAGAGATATTGCAAGAATAACTCAATAACCACAAAGCCTTCAGCTAGATCATCAATTGCTAACCCTGGCCACATCTGCTTTGCCTCTTTCTATATGTCATGCTATGGTCACTCGGCTGCGTCATTTGGAAGTTATAGACAAGATGACCTTCCACCTCCACGGACGAGACATCCTCCTCCCCTAGAGCCCCAATAATGAAAGAAGACCGGGTGTCAGTCCCGCCGGGCAGTGACTCCATGTGACAAAGCAGAGCGGCCCGTGTGGTTTTCTGCGCCGTCACCGGTAAGGAAGCACAGTGATGGGACAGGCAGGGGGTTCAAACTGTTGACTTTTTGGTTAGCAGCCAAGGACTTTGCCTCTGCGCCACCTTAGAAAACAGCGGCACCAGGGATGCCAGACTGAGGCAACAGAACCAGAGCCCACGGCATCCCATCTAATCCCACCGCCTGGCCCTGGGTGGCCGCCCCTCTTCCTCCGCCCTAGACCCAGCCCTCTAGCCTCCATTCTCCTGGAAGAGCTCCTGGGTAGGGGCTCTGCTGCCTGGTGCACACACATCCCCCCGCCCCTGCCCTCTCTGCCCCTATCCAGGGCCCTCCTTCCTTCCCTTCGCCTCTGCACCCAGCGGGACCGCATCCTCAGATCCCTCCAGCCTGGAACCACCCCGTCCCTCCCTCTCCATGGCAACCTTTCCGAGCTCAGTGTCTCCGAACTTGACCTCAGGCACAGGT